TAATAATATGTTATCTGTTTTATTTTTATGGTGGTTAGTTAATTCTTCCTTGTGCAACAGAGAACCTCAGCTTGGAAACCTAAAATGTGTTTGTCCCTGGACTCAGGTATGACTGGGCATATCTAAAGAGTCCATTTTGCATATGGAACCAAGGTCGCATCTCAAGGGGAAAAGGAAGTGGAAGTGCACTAAGTTGGTTCAAGGATGACAGTGTCCTTGTAGTAGCGCAAAGTGGTTAGAGTGTATTTTCTTCTGGAAGGCAGGGGCTGCATCTGACGCTTTACAGGGCCTGGCATGGCCAGTCTTTTGTGAGCGAATTTAATAAATGGACCCTACCTAATTGCTTTCAGATCTCCTAGCATAGTTGCATGTCCCCGAGGGCGTAGGGCTCTAGTTAATTGGATGGAAAGCTCCTATGTCAGATTCAGAACACAAATGTGTATGACAAAGTTGGGGAGGCATTTGGGTTATATGTGCAATGTGCTCCCAGGGCCTCATGAGATTAAGGCGAGTGCCCACACGATGGCAGAGGGCGGTGTTCTTTGAAGATCGTGGCAGACATTTCCCAAATATGGCCACGCCAATGTACATGCCATCCCACATGTTCTTATTACAATGTTAACACTCTTCCATCAGTAAGTGGGCTCTGTGCTCCCTGCCCTTGGACCTGGATGGAGGCCTTGTAATTGCCTTGATCAATAGAATGTGTCAGAAGTCATGCTAGGTCATAAAAGGCAACATGGTTTCCACCTGTTTTTTTTCTCTCTCTCACTCTTAGGACATTTACCCTCGAAATCCATCCACTCTGTTGCGAGCAAGCTCAGGCCACATGGAGAAGCCACATGGAAAAGCTCTGGCTGACAGTCTTAGTTAAACCCCAGCTGGCAGTCAATGTTAGTATGTGAGTAAATGAGCCTTCAGATAATTCCAGCCTTTGAGTCTTCCAGTTGAGGCCTCAGACTTCATGAGGGAGGGATATGTGTTCTGTCCAAATTCCCCATTCTCTGAGAGATCATAAATGATGATTGCTTTTTTAAGCTACTACATTTGGGATAATTTGTGATCCAGCCTTAGAGAGCTGATGCAGATATTGTAATCCTTTACAGACCTGTCTGGCCCTATTATGTCCCAGAGGACTCGAGAGGATAATGATGCTGGGAAAAGGTAGCAGGTGCCCCAAGTTTATCATTCATTCACTCACTCACTCATTCATTCATTCCCTACTCTGTACCTGGCTCTGTGTTAGAGTCTTCGGAAACATAGATCTATATGCTACTTTAACTTCTATGCTCAAAGAGGTGATGCCATACAGGGGAAGATAGACATTACCCAAAGAATTTAATTTACAAAATGGTAAGGGCTTAAAGAAACCTGTAGGAAGTACAGCAGGAAACAGTGAAGGGAACAATTATTTTTACCTGGAGAACTTTGGAAAGGCTCTACACAGAAGGTGACACTCAGTAGGGTTCTGTAGGAAGAATAGGAGTTCACTATGTAGTCAGGTGGGAAGCAGGGATTCTAGGCACAAAAATCTGCAGTGGGAAAGAGTGTGGGCTGGAGGGATAAGGTGGCTGGAAAGAAGAATTTGAAGGAAGGCTGGCAGGAAAAGTAGGGAAGGTAGGATGGAGTTCTACTGCGATGAGCCTTCCATGGTTGTTCTAAGAACATGAAAGTATATTCTGTAAGCTACAAGGAGCCACCAGAATGCTTTAAGCGAGGGAATGAATGAACCGCTTAGACCTGTATTTCAGATGGGCCATTTTGTAACAGCGTGGAAGATAGACAGGAAGGAGAATCTGAAGCCAAGGAGCCCAGGTGGGAGGCTGTTGTCTCCTAAGAGACCCCGGAGGGAGGGCCCACGCTGAGGCCATGTCTGCAGGGAAGGAGAGGAGAAGGTGGACATATGAGATGTTTTAGAGGTGCCCCTGGAGTGGGAAGAGCAAGGGGAAGGGCAGCATCCCCAGTCCCTGGCCCGGGTGATGGGGTGGACCTGAGTGCCATTTGCAGGGACCGGAAGCAGGGCGTGGGGAAGATGGTGAGCTCACCTTCAGACCTGTTAGGTTGGAGATGTGCAAGTGGAAACATCCCACTACCAGTCCATAGGTGGATCTCCATGGAAAGATCTGGGATGGAGATAAAGCATTGGGAGTTGTCGGCTTAGAGGGATAATCGAAGCCGTGGGAGTGGATGAGGTTATTGAGAACAGAATTTCTCAACCTTAAACTCAGCACATATCTCTTTTTGGTTACCATAAACCCTGGCCCCCCAAAGTAACCCCCAGAAAGACAAACTGCTAGAACTCTGCTGGTCATGGGCATAGCACGGCCAGGAGTCCCTGCATCAGTCCTGTGTCTTTTTAAAAATATATATATTTTATTGATTTTTACAGAGAGGAAGGGAGAGGGATAGAGAATCAGAAACACCGATGAGAGAGAAACATCGATCAGCTGCCTTCTGCACACCCCCCACTGGGGATGTGCCCACAACCAAGGTACATGCCCTTGACCAGAATCAAACCCGGGACCCTTCAATCCGCAGGCTGACGCTCTATCCACTGAGCCAAACCGGTTAGGGCAGTCCTGTGTCTTCACAGTCCAGGAAATTTTGCTGAACTTTGCCTGCAAGGATTTGTATTTTTTTAAAAAAGAGACATCACTTTCCTTTATTAAATATTACATTCTACTGTCAAATATGCCTTTTTGAAATTTACTTGTCCATCTCAGAGGTTCTGATATGGCTGACAATTTGTTCTCCCTCTCAGGCCTGGGTTACACCAACTTTTAAAAAACATATATTTATTTATTAAATTGGTTGTGGTGACATTGGTCAACATGAACATATAGGTTTCAGGTGTGGGTTCCTATGTTATAAGATCTGCATATTGCACCGTGCGCCCACCACCCAAAGTCAAATCTCCTGTTACCTGATATTAGGATCTCCTTCTTTCTCCACCCGCTTTCCTATGGCAACCACCATGCCGCTGTTTGTGTTCATGAGTTTCAGTTTTTTACCCCACATATGAGTGAAATCATATTACACCAATTTTTAAAGGGAGGGCTGAAAAAGAAAGGAGCCTGAAAAAGAAAGGAGAGAGGGGGTGGGGCCACAGGGTGCGTGTGTGGGGTGTGGGTGATGTGAGGGGGTGGGGGGACAGGGGAGTCAGGGATGAGAGGGCTTCCAGGGGGAGGCCGCCTGCACCAGGTACTGTGGTGAGGACTGAGGCGAGGCCTTGGGGTCTGGGCTGGGCAGGTGAGGGGTGCATACTGCACACAGAGGAGACTGAAGTCAGTGGGATGGAGGGTGGACGTTGCCTCCCCTTCCCCAGGGGACCTCGACTGCAGGATCTGCCGCTGTCACCCAACAGTTATTTCACAAATTATGTCGCTGATGTCGTGCACTGCTGAAGGCTCCTCGGCAGTCTTGGCCGTTAAAATTGTCCTGTTTTGGGCAGTCAGGGAGGTGGATGCCCCTAATACGGTGCCTCTTGTCCACAGCAGTTTTGGAGAAACGGGGGAGGGGAACGTGGGATTGCAGGGGGCAGGGAGAGGTGAGGACGATCCTCCAGGCTGGCCGAGGGCAGAGCTTCTGTCATCTCTGCTCTGACAAACAGGAACCATGCACGCCAGCCCCTCTGTGCCAGTGACTAAGAACTGGCAACTCACATAAAGGGCACGGGCTGGGTAGCTGGATTTTATCTGCAATTCACCTCCCTGGGTACTTCTTTGGGGGGAAAAACATAAAACAAAAACCCCTGTCTATTGTGTGCGTTGGTAATTTTTTCAGAGAGGATGTGAAATCAAGGCCAAAAGAGTCATTAAAACCAAACATACCTTCTGCACCCTCTCAATATCCGGGAACAATTAAGCTTGAGCAAACAAAATTGCCAAAGGCCGAAAAATGGAAAATAAACCCTCTGCTTTGCTAAGTGGAGTTGAAGAGAAACCCCCGAGTCTCTGGGTGTTCCAGAACCAGCCCTCTTGTGCTCCGAGATCTTATGGAACGGGTCTGCTTGGTGTGTGTGTGTGTGTGTGTGTGTGTGTTAACTCTACACATGACCGATCCCAACTGTTGCCAAGGTTGCCCTGCATAGTCAATAAGTACGTTCGTTTTCTGAGAGGGATGTGTTTTGAAGAAGAGCAGAAAAATACAATGTGGAAAATGTCAAGAGGAATTAGATCAAGGAGTGACCTAATACCCATGGGGAGGCCGACGTCAGCTGCATTCCCTGTCTCTCGCTCTCCCTTGGACCTCTTTCAGAACTCATTGGAAAATAAATATGTATGTGATGGAGAAGTGGGTGGATCCAAAAGCTACAATAAGAGAGAGGGAACGAAAGGCAAACACACCCTTGCTTGGACTATTCAACTGATTTAAATTCACAAGTCACAGCTGTAGAAAGCATTGTTTCCATTGCAGCTTCCTCTCTATAGGAAAAACACAAAAACAAGAGAAAAGGTAGCTGGGGGTGTATTCTTCCTGACTTGGAATGAAGTGCGCTGTGTCGTAGATTCTCAGTAAGCATTTGTCAGACATTCAGTGCAGAAATGAGTAAGAGTGAGTGACTACATGGCAAATGCGTCCATCTTTAAGCAGGATAAATTGTGTCAGAGTCCAAGGAACTTGTTGGGTTATAGAAGATTAAGTTGTTGTGCAATTGAAAACAAAAAAAAAGCCCTTGTGCTCCAGTGCCAATCGTTATGTAGGCAGGTTCACACCCATTATTGTATTTAATTCTTCCAACAATATGGTGAAGTAAATATTATGATCTCCATTTTATAATTAAGGAAACCAAGGTTTAGGGAGGGTAAGCAATTGCCCAACGTAGCATGTTTAGAAGTGATGAAAATGACATTCAGACCCTGGGTCTTCTTGCTCTTAACCAGGTTTTCTTTCCATACATTATGACAGAAGGTGGGAGGTGGGTATAGATCAGACGCAGCCTTCCGGAACACTGACTACTCCAGAAAACTCATTCATAGAGTTTTGTTTTATATTTCCAGGTCCACTGTGAAGAAAGAAGATCTCTTACCTGTTTGAATAGTTTACATGGAGTTCTTTTGGAGCTGTTGTCTTAGAGCTTCACCTGTCTCAGGTGAGGTTTTGCTATAAACTTGGGTTCCCTTGGAGTTTGGGTACTTAATCACTTTAAAAAAATAAATCTCATTCTGAAACATTCACAAAGTTACAGAAGAGTTACAAGGGCAATGCAAAGAACTCATTTTCCTTCTGAATTAATTGGAAATATATTACCAATCTGGTGTCCTATGACCCCCGAATACTTAAGTGGGTATTTCCTACAAACAAGGATGTTCTCCTGTAAAACCACAATGCAATTGTCCAAATCAGGAATTCACATCGATACAGTACTATCATCTAATCCTCAGACCTCATTCCACTTTCACCCATTGTCCTGATAATGGATAATGTCCCGTTAGTCCTTCTAAAAGACTCTACTTTAGTAGCGTTGTCCTTAGCTGTCAGATCTCTCTAGTCTCTCTAGTCTGGAGCAGTTGCCAGCCTTCCATTATGTTCATGACCTTGACACTTGGAAGATTGCAGCCACTTATTTTGCAGAGCGTCCCTCGGTTTGATTGAATTGGCCTGATGTTTCCTCATGCCCTTATCCCGGTTGCGCATCTCTGGCGGGACTATCACAGAAGTGACACTGTTCTTCTCATTACATCCCGTCAGGGGTGTGGAATTCCAGTGTGTCCCATCACTGATGACGGTCGTCACGGTCACTTTCTACGGTGGTCTTTGCCACCCTCTTCAGTCTAACGTTACACTCTTTTTCCTTCATGATTTAATTTTGTGGGGAGATACTTTGAAACTACGCAAATACCCTGTTCTTGGTCAGATCTTCACTATGTCAGTTATTAGCATAGAATCATGGTTTCCTATGTGACTCAATGGGCTCCAGTCCTTCTCTAGCATTTATTTTGATGTTCACAGTGTCCCAGATTTGGCCAGTGGGGGTCCTTTCAATCTGGCTTCTGTGTTCTTTGGACATAGTTCTTTGGGTCTTCCCTTACTTTCCGGCACAACATGTTTCAGCTCATCTCGTCTTTTCCTTGCCCCAGTCTTAGGATCAGCTATTTCTCCAAGGAACCCATTCCTTTTAGTGCAGAATGTGATTTGAAAGCCAAGATTTGGGTACTGGTTGTACTTATTGCTATTGGGGTGTCACTGTTCCCAGGTCCTTTGTGTGTGGACAGAGCCAGGGAACACACAATTCACATTTACATCTCTCTCTCTCTCTCTCTCTCTCTCTCTCTCTCTCTCTCTCTCTCTATTTAAAATAATGAGTTTACTCCCCTGGCTTTAAGTCCAGACTAACAGCAGAGCATTAAGTTTTCTCCTGTTTCTATACTGTGACTTCCTTCTCCCACAGTGAATACCTTGGCTTCCAAATTCCCTAACATATTCATTGATTGATTAGCCCCCTGCGTGTAACCTCTTCCATTTTTGCCCATATCCTACAACCCCGTATGGCTGTCTTCTCACCCCAGCTCAGGCTGACACCCTGCACAGGGCCGTGTCCCCACATGGATGCTCTCCTTACCTTTCTTGGGCTATCATTCCCCATTTTGGGCTATTTGCCCAATGGAAGCTCTTTTCGTCCTGCCCAGGCTCTGACACCCCACGCTGGACTGCATCCCCAAAGGGACTCACTCCTGACCCTGCTCAGGAGCTGATACCCATGCCAGGCTGCCCTGCTATAGGCTGGGGCTCTGACACCCTACTCTTAACCACAGGGCTTTCCCACCCCCAGCTGAACCTGTCTTGTCCAACTAATGTGTTAAAACTAAATTGTTCAGAAAGGAAAAGGAAGAGAAAAAAAGAAGAGGAAAGAGAAGGGGGGAAAGCAGGTGCTTCTCATTTTAGTTAAAAATAAAGATGATCGTTTCATTTCTTAGGAAATTTTTTGCCAGGCTAGAAGGAAGTGTGTTTTGTTTGTTTGTTTGTTTTGTGAACATACTTCACATAGTAAGCAGGCAGTAGTTCAGATTATCTTTGATTAGAACCAGGCATCCATTCCCACCACCTTCTCAGACATCTTTCTTTATCACAGGGGCTATAAATCTACAAACTACATTTCCCTGACTCCCTTGTACTTGAGTTTCTAGAATCAAATTAGGTTCCACCAACGAGAGGATATTCCAAGGAGACGTGGAAGTTGGAAGTGGGTTGGAAGCCACAGTCCTGCTGTCATTGCTGCTGGTCAGTGAGGTCATAGATGCACACGTGTGTGGACTGACTCAGCCTTATGGCATGTAAGGGAGTCTCCGAGGATGAGAGGCATTGGCAGTTCATGGCAGCAGCAGCAGCAGCAGCCGTGGTTCGCCGACCTCTGGATCTTAGCTTTGGCGGTGTGCCCTTGAGCCAGTAACCCCAGAGTGGTTCCTCCAGGTTCCCAGGATTATATAAGCCCCCTGTATTGATTGCCCTTCTGTTGAAAATACCTGGAGGGACTCCTTTTTCCTTATTAACTCCTAACTGGCACCCTGACTTAGCATATAAAAAAGGATTAGAAAGCAGGCAACAGATATTAACTCCTAGGAGAGTACCAGTGCCTTTTATTTATGCTGGAACTTGTTTTGTACTTATTATAGACATTGTACTAACCTAGATTCACAGGTACGAATAGAGGTAGTGAACACACACAGCCTGGTCTCAAGGAATTACAGACTAGAAAAAGGAAGGAGAGAAAAAAAAAATCCCATAATAAGCAACCAAGTCTAAAATAAGACAGAAGGTGATGTGTAATAAGGTGAGATACAAGCATAGCATTCCTCACAGGTCCCAGCCTGGCCCACCTCTCCAGTATCACTGACTGTTACTAACCCGGGGACCTACACACCCAGTCATGTCAAACTCCTTATACCTTGAATGCCATTTTTCCTTTCAGAATGCTCTTTCTCACCTGGCCAGTGTGGCTCAGTGGTTGAACGTCGACCTATGAACCAGGAGGTCACTGGTTCGATTCCTGGTCAGGGCACATGCCTGGGTTGTGGGCTCCATCCCCAGTAAGGGGCGTGCAGGAGGCAGCCAATCAATGATGTTTCTCTCTCATTGATGTTCCTATCTCTCTATCCCGCTCCCTTCCTCTCTCTCTCAAAACCAACAAAAACATATATATATATATATATATATATATATATATATATATATGCTCTTTCTCTAATTTTCCTGCTGAGATTACTCATGCACATTCTTCAGAACTAAACTTCAGTGTCATCTGCTCTGCAAAAGAGTCATGGAGAGTCTGAGTCTCCTCCCTGGACTACTGATTAACTGGGGAAACCAGATGCCTGCTGAGGTAGCTCTCCCTTGCTTCTTTAAAGTCTTTGCTTACTGGTCATTCTAGAGAAAGTGGCCTCTAAAAGGAGAAATGACACTACTAAAAGCCCATACCCCTTCCCCGCAAAGGAGTTACTTTGTTGTTGCAAAGTACTTAAAGAAAGCAATACTTTCGAGGAGAAATCCTTTATAAGGATATTTCACATACACTTGCACACTCTTCCATATGCATACTTTGCTCATATGCATTTCTAATTCCTGACTGTCTCTGCCTACAATTTTACTTGGGAATTTTTCCCTGGGGTCTAACATCTTTATGATCTGCCAGAACAATTGTCAAGCTGATCTCTAGGCAAACATGGCAAGGATTGTTCAGTTGCATTTGTGTCTGTGAAAATGGATCCTTTGTTGACTTCTAAATTAATTCATATGCTTCACTTTCCTGCCACTTGTTTAGGGCCTGGGGGGTATCCAACATTTCCAATGTTACTGTGGCACATGCATGGAATGCTGTATGTTTGGAAGAGAGCGTATAATGGTTTGTTAAGCTGTACAAGCTGAGAACATTTCAGCAACGGCTGATTCACTTTGTAACCCACTGGCAACAACATCTAATATTTATGGGATTGCAAAATCTTATTAAATGGGTAAAGTTCCATTTTCCCTATGTGATTTCAACCAACATTTATGAGTATCAACTAAGTGCTATGCACTAAGCAGGATTCCATTATGAATGAATGAATATTCATTAAGCATCTACTATGCCAGTCATTGGGTAAGTATTCCATTGAGTGAATAAACATTTATTAAGTGCATTTTAAGGACTCAGGTATAATGTTAGGATTGAGCTAAATGGATAGACTCTCATTATGGATGTTTAGTAAGAACATTCGCTCAAATGGATAAATATTTATTAAGCACTTTCTTGTGCTAAGTATCAGGCTAAGCACTTTAACACATGACCCCACTTAACCTTCACTATTATAATGAAGAGGGGCAAGTATTATTCTCCCCACTTGATACATGAAGAAACAGAGGCAAAGGGCTAAGATTCATGCCAGCCGTTCACACAGGACCTGAGATTTGAACACATGTCTCCTAATGCTGTATTCAGTGCTCTTTCCATTACACCAGCATGGATTTCTGTGTTTATAGAACTCAACCTAGTTCTGTAATATGAAAACGAATGAGAACTGTTGGTCTATTGACTATCACTGAGTGGGATTCTATTTCTGTACTATTCTCAGGGCAAGAAGGGAACTTTATCTTACTTGTTTAAGAATAGTCATACACATACAACTAGAGCAGTTAAAATTCCTATGTTATTGAGCCCCAGCCTCTCTTAGCTGAGAAGGTTGCAGACAATGAGTTAGTTTTCAGGGCTACGGAGACAATTCCGATTAGAGTCACTAAAACTCATGTAAGACTACTGATCCCAAGAAAATGCAACAAGAATGGCTCTGCCTGAAGAAGACCAGAGATCTGTGCACCTGGGTTACACTGCTGGTTTTGGAGACCACTTCCTATCAGTCCTTCAGTGAATTTGTCTGCAAATGCCCATGCCCAGGGCATGACAGGCACTGTGTAAGTACATGATATATGGTGAGACCTAGTCAATTATTAGCCATGTGTCATTAGGCTAGTTGTCTAATATCTCTGAGTCTCAGGTCCCTCAACCAGAAAGAGGATAAATATTTATGAGAATAATATTACTCCTCCTTTTCCTAAACTCTTAACATTCAATTTTTCAAGTTGCAAAATAAGTTTATT